GAATTCATACACCACCTTCCTTAGCTCTAACAAAATATTAATTAAAAAACCTAAAAGAAAAGGTGCACGTACTCAAGGTTATATTATAGAATCAACTACTCGTCTAAGAAAATGAATGAAGTACTTAGCTTTGACTTCTCTTCTTTCGCTAGCCACCATCCTTTAGTTGACTAGAAAATATATTTGATCTTATCATGCTCCCTACTTATATTAAAAAGCTATGAAATTGAGAGAGTGAAGGATAGCTTAAGTGGTTAGAGCTTTTCTCCCAATTTCAGGAGATCTTGGGATCGATTCCCACCCCCACCCTTGTGGCTCTCTAAACACCTAAAAAAAAAAGCTATGAAATTCATTTTGTCACTTTTTATATGCAAATTTATTTTCCTAAACACTAACCTATATTATTATTTACTAAGATTATTTTGTCAATCCTTTACGTTTGCTCCATTTTCCTTTGGTTAACTTTTAGAAGTTGTATTGTGCGGATAAGTAATAATCTTAATTGACTTTTCATACTCTTATTAGATAAAAGACATAAAGACAATTACTAAGAAAACGACAATACAAGTTTATCTGCCAGATAAACGATATGATTTTTTTTAAAAAATTTGGTATTATTTCGGTAAATATATTGAAAAGGCGTGGTCATTTATTCAGTAATTTTGGTGAACTGTTCAATTACTGTTTGTAACTTGCATTTACTGTTTGGTGAAGAAATTACATATGTACCCCTCAACTAGTACATGAAAAGACGCATGTACCCCTCCACTGATATTTGAAAAGACGATTATACCCCAAATTTGTTTATCTTCTAAGAAAACGAGGGACAGTGTTATCGGAGTAGAAAATGCATGGAGCAATATCGAATTTTAGGGAGGGAAGAAGTAATCAAAAGCACCTAGACCAATTAAGCTTGAGACAGCCAAACTAGATCAAGAAAAACGGCGCAACTTAAGAAAAAATTCACCATATAACCGACCAAACCACGAATATACAAATTATTCAAAAATATAATCATACACAAATTAAAGTTGCCAAATTTCCAAGAATCACACATATAATTATGTAACACGCAATTGACTCAGCCAACCATTGCTCACATGTTATAACCTTCAAATATAAACCATACTTCCAACCCCCCCTATATATACCTTATGTTACACTTTTATTAATACCATAACATTCACATTAAAATCTTCCAATATTTCATTATACAAAATCAAAATCAAAATCAAAATCAATGGAGACGAACAACACTAGAATGGTACGTATAGACGAAGACGAGCTCGAATGCTTAAGGAAATTAGCGGAGCCAATCGTTCAATCTAGAATGGTACGTATAGATGAAGACGAGCTCGAATGTTTAAGGAAATTAGCAGAGCCAAGTAAAACTGATCGTGCATTTCGCGGTCAAAAGGTTACGCCTGTTATTAATAATAAGTCTAGATTATCTAATAATAATGATAATAAGATTTTTGTTCATGATGATGAATTTTTTCCTCAAGTAGAGAAAAAAGTTATAACGCAAGTGCCCGGAAAAAAGCTAGTGAGTAAGAAATCTGAAGATATAAATGAAAGTGCTGAGAAATTTATTCAAAAATTCAAGCAACAATTGCTTCTTCAACGACTCGAATCCATCGAAAATATTGAGAAGATGCTTGAAAGAGGGCTCTGAGATTCACTACAAACAGAGGATTTGTTTTTTTTGGTGGTTGATTTATTATTTGATTGATTTTGTTAATAATTGATTTATATTGATATTAAGTTTACGTAATTACTTGTTTTTTCTGCATGTTTGTTAATGTTATAATCTGTATTAATCAAGCATGTAAAGTAGATTATTCTTTTGTTAATTGGGTATAACGATTTCTGGCTACTAAAAGGTTGTATTAATTTTTCAGAATTCAAGATATCATATACTATTATCATTTTACTATTAAGTAATAAGTACCAGTATTTGGTGGTGTTTTGGAGTCTATCTTCCTACTATAATGTCTTTTGCCATAAAAATTTAAAAATAGCTAGTGCAGTTGATGACTTCTTTGTATAATTAAGTGGCCTATTTCTTTATCATTGTTTAACATATCTTAAATCATATACAAGTATACTAGAAGAATTAAGTATATATACTTTCCAAAATATTATGGAGTATTTGAAACTCCCAATAATATGTTTTTTTTTTTTTTTTTTTTTTAAAAAAAAAAAGAAATAATATTTAATGCTTCAAAACTACACATCCAAATGAGCTTTACAAAATCTCACATGATTAAAAATTTTAAAAATAAATTAATATTAGTAAAAAATAAAACTAAAGGAACTAGAGAGATTGAGTCGGTCACACTTTTTTTTTTTACTAGAAAAAAAAATGATGTCGTTAATAAAATATAATCAAACGACACTTACATATAATTCCTAAAAAAATCAAGAATTGCAACATAAGTACACACACCTTAAAACTAAATACAACGTAGATTTTATTAACAATCGCCTTAATAAAAAACTTAATCTGAAGCATACAATCTGTGAGTTTGCACTGATTCGACTTGAAATCCACTAATGTGTAGTCGTTTGAGTGAAAATACTCATGTGGTCCTCCAGATTCTTATAGAGATTATAAAACCTTAGATCTTCAATTCTCACCAAACAAGCAATAAACTTAAGAGAAAAATCATCATCATAAGGATGAAATCTATTTATTAAAAGCAATTGAAAGGTTTTTGGGGTTTACCATCGGTAAAAAAATACCAGTAGAAAGAGTTTCACAATTGAGATCAAGAGGAAAAGAGATTGTAGTGATGGAGAAAAAACGAAGAAGAGAGAAGGAAAATCTTCAAATTAAAAAAAAAAATTGAAAAAATCTAGCAAATGGAAGCTAGGAAACCCTTACAAAGAAAAAAAAACCATAGAGGGAACCAAAAAAACCATTCCAAAGAAAAAACCTAGCAATTCCTATTAGTCGTGTTTCTAAGAAATGATGGAAAAAAAAAGTTTAAAAGCAGACAAAGTAAACAAGAGTATGTGAGACATTGGCAATTTGGGCTAGCTCAATAGTGGAACTTGGAACTATGGAAGTTGTGCACTTTTCAGCTAGCAACCCAAGTGAACCCCATCCAAATTCTTAATTAGAAGCAAGAACTTTTCCATAGGGTAATGCTATACATAGCCCTTAGATCTATATATATTAGAGCTATATATAAGCATTAAAAACACCGTTGAAAATTGTATAAAATTAGGAATTCATGACAAAAACATGCACAAATCAGTGTAATTAGTGTGAATTGTCATAATTTTCTAAATTTAAACAGTTTTCAAGAGTATTTTTAATATTTATATGTAGCCAGGACTATGTATAGCATTTTCCTTTATTTTTTGGAGTACCGTTTTTTTTTTTTTTTTTTTTTTTTTTTTGGTCTAATTTTGATATGTCATAATTAGCCATGTGTATCCAAATGTTTGGATTCTTATTATAACTCCAGGAAGAATTCTTGTGTGATGGACTCATATCAGCTGAAGCCCAGTATAGCTCAACTCATATGGAGACAATTTGGACTAACCAGCCCACCAAACTCACTGATCTATCATACATTCACATTGGCATATTGCTAGTAAATGCCAAAATGAGTCTTGAAGGGTTTTTTTTTCTTTTCTTTTTTAATTATTAATATTTTTATGAATAATGCATATCCTCAAAGTCTAAAACTCACATATTGCTATTTGCTATGAGCACGTTCCAAGATTTATAATATATTTGGTTGAATAATAATAATAATAATAATAATAATAATAATAATAATAATAATAATAGGGCGGCTCTAGGGTAAGTAATTTCATTTTGTGAGAACTAAAACCTACTAGCAAGTGTAACTTCCCATAAATATTATAAAGTACAATCAACAATTCCACCTTCTTCCACTTCTTAGAAATGTTAACTTTTCGTACATTCTAATGTCATCCAAACAACCACTCAATGTACACGAGTCACACAAACATTAAATGAATTCATCCATCTGTATAGGTCCCTATACTACTACCATTAACACGAATACGGCATACCACATCAATGTGATAAGTGCAATACAACACAAGCCTAAGCTAAATGTAGAACATTTTTAGAGATTTCGAGACCAATGTTGGAAAAAAGGGGGGGGGGGGGGGTGTACTCCATTGTCATAAATTTTGATTTGCATCCATCAATAAGGCCAAAGTAGACATGCCATTACCATTGTTGATTATTCAGATCATGCATTGAAATATTGGTGTTACACATGCCATTACCATTATTATTTTTGGTTGTTTACAATTGTTCATACAATTGTTCATAGTGAAGCCTTTGTTCATGAGAGTATCCATAATGAATGGAACTTCATTTCATTTGGTAGCATAGAATAATCATTATTGCTAATGGAAAATCATCACAGTAATTTTGTCTTCCCCTTTATCCCTTTTGTTCCCCTTTTTCTAATTTTCCTCCTATTTTCCTTTTTTTCCCTCTTTTTTTTTTTTACCTTGATAAAAAAATTATTTTTCAACACAATGATAGACTGATAGAGTATGGTAGTAGATTTTCTCCCTAAATTCTTTTACTAACACACTCATTAGTCATTACAGTACAATTTTGAATATGAGAAACTAAATATTCCATACACTTAATATACCCAATTATTAAATTATTGTCCCAATCAAATCACTTATTTTTACTTTGTATATCAAGGACTAGAGAGGACAAATAGTCATTTCATTCATGTATTCATGTATTTATAGTAGTTGTATTTCTTGTCAATATGTAGTTGTATTTTGAGTTCTCAACAAACATGACATTTTGTAGAAACTAGCTTAGGAAATACTTCCATCTTAAGATGTGCAAAAAGATTCCAGGCCAACTTTCAAGTACTAGAATATCCTTATTAGTGTCAATGTATAATTTATAACTTCGTATTACAGAAAAAGAAAAAGAATGCATATATTATTGAATTAATAAGAATTTAACATTTCACTTGAAATAATGAGAAAAATAACAGTTATGTTCTTCATTTTCCAATCACTAGAACATCATATTTTATTATTCACCTTGCAAAAAACATTGACATTTCGCCTTTCGCCCCAAATTTTGGGGCGAAAGAAGAAATTCCCCCCAAGAATATAACAACACAAACCCATAAACCAAACAAAACCAGAACACTGTCAAGTCCTCCTTACTTTGATACATAATACTTCTTACATTACCAACATCTCCCTATAATCTTAACTAAAATGGTCCATAATTTTTCGACATCGACTGACCTCAACTTCTCAACCTACAAGATTGATATGCACCACATTTTCACAACCCCCTGATTTGGTCCCAATATTGTGTAAATCTTTACTGCTGGACCACAGGGCTGGTTTTCTGTTGCTGCTGTAAGAGGTCAAATTTCACGAGCGAACACGATCTTACCATGTCTCCCGAGAGAGGGATCACTGGGAGGTTGTCACAGTTGCATATTTCGATCATGAAACCGTCTGGATCATGGAAGAAGAGCTGATCCACGAAGATTCCGCCTTCTTCGACTCTTGCTCTTATATGCTTAATCCCCATTTCTTTCAGCTTCTTCTCTACTGCTCCCATGCTTTCACACTACATGAATACAATTGTATAAACATGAGACAACTACTTAAGTTTTAAGCTATATATATGTATATATATAATGTCACAATGTTTATAGTATGATCATTTGAGTAAAATTCATGAAAATAAATTTAAATACACTAGCTCAATCATATGACTAAATTTTTTTATTGTTTTGAATTTATAGAAGAAGTTTAAAGATGAGAAACATATAAGTCTAGTGGGTATTCCACCTATTGTCGATTGATTTTGGATGGATGGATCCCCAACCAACCTTATATATGATCATCCTCTTCTTCAATGCGGGCCTTGATGTACCATTCAATTTTTTGAAATGATATCAAAGCCAAAGAGGATCCGATCCGAACCCTTCAAAAAAACAAAGATTACATCTCTTTAGGACGAGTTAGTTATAAGTCACCTAAATTGCTCAATAACAAAAATTACCCCTACAGTTTATTTACCATACTTGCCAATCAGTGTTACCTTCGAACTATAAGAATAACAATTTGTTATAATCGTTACATATACTAATATATGAAAATAACTTTGATCGAAAAATATGTAGACATGGATTAAGAAAATATCTATGGTAGCATACCCGTGACTAGGACCATCATAAACACATCTCAATCACGGCATGAGTTGTTGCTGACTCCTCTTATGGATAACACTATTGCGTATTATGTAATACTTGTACATGATAGTCTAGAAATTTCGAATCCTATATGCATCTTTCTATGTCAATTTCTTTATATCAACTTCAAATACGTAATTATAGTGACTTTATTGTGCATTGAAACAACCTGTGTCGTATAAAATGACAATTACAATTTTTGTAAATGATAGATGAAGATATCTTAAAGGTGATTAGTCATCAATTTCTATAAGGACTATAACTACAGCATGACAATGATATCTTCAATAATCAACATCCTTAACTTTACAGATTTTACATTTTGATCACCCTCTCTCAAACTACGCTAGAATTTTTATTACTGGCTCTCATGTATCGTTATGTAGACTCGAATTTGAGACCTCAAAGTTCACTGTTGCTAATCATTATTGAACAAGAATAATTCTTTTTTCATAATTCATTTGTAATTGAAGTAATGAAAAAACGAGAATATTTTATGTACACTAAATAGTATCGTGGTCCAACGCTTCAAACCCGATAAGGACTAAACACTTGTGACTTGTAGAATTTTAGGTAGCTGAATGTACATGCATTATGAAATCACCACTTTGAAACTAAAACACGTTTCTCTTTATATTTTGGAATTTTTCAATTGATGACAAATTGATAATGTTGCCCAAAGTATCAAATAAAAGTGGTTCATGAATCATGGGATCATGGCCACAAGTCATAAACATGTCACTTCTTATGTGTAAATGTTAAGGTTGACAAATGACACGTAAAACTAATTTGCTCATGTACGAGTATACGTCCAACTCGTTCATTTTGTTTGTATACCACTCAAATACAAAACTCTCATGACATAAAATCATCTTAAACCAAACTCAAACTCAATACTCGCTTTATTTTACTTGAACTTATTTTATAAGACATTATTTTTCTAAAATAAATAAAACTAAAATGAAACAATCATACCCTTAAAATAAAATCACTCTATTAATCCATGTAAAAAAGAAAACAAGAAATCTATCCTAATTTAGGTGCACTATTAATAAAAGTAACAATTACCTGAAAAGAAATGTGGTTATCCTTTGGATTAATTTCTGTTTTTTGGGGCAATTTCTCTGGTTCCGGCGCCTGTAACAAGTGAATTCCAATTCCGTACCCAAACAGCCTACATTTACCAAAAAAAAAAAACCAAAATTAATAAAAAAAACATATAATCAAAATCAACCCCAGAAACCAAAATCATTATAACGTACTCCCTCCGTTCCTCAATACATTACCCGTTTTTAATCCGATACATGGATTAAAAACGGGAGGTTTCATATCCAAAAGAAAATGAAAATTTGTATGCCCTTTAATTAATGAAAAAAATTGAAAATTTAGGAAAATTACCAAGCTCCATCAAAATCAAATGAACCGGGTCGTCTAATTGGGAAAAACCCAAGAACATCTTGATAAAAGCTAATGGATTCTTCAACTGAACGACAAAGAAGAGAAATATGATTTATAGATTTTAGGTGAAGTGGGTTTCCTTGAACATCCTTCATTTTTACCCTTTTTTTACTTTTTAATGAAAATCCAAAAAATTCGGGACTTTTTAAAAATTAACTTATAAATTTTTTTTTTTTTTTTTTTTGAAACAATTAACTTATAAATTTGATCACAAATAAACTTGAAATAGTGAATTGAATTAATAATTTAATGAAAATTATTGGAAGAAAAACAGAGGAATGAATGAAAAAACAGGGGAATAATAATATCAGCAAGTTTTTTTTTAATTTTGGAGTTTTGGTTGTGTCATTTGTGGAAATAGGCAAGGGTTTATATAGAGGGAGAATCGAAGATGTAACTGCCACGTGTACTATCAATGATTCTTTGACACGTAGATTCCACGTTGATGTACAGCACATTTTTAAATGTCATGAGAATAATTGCACTCATGACATTATATGAAATTTCACGATTCTTGTTTTAAAATAATTGTTACACTTGACTTTATAGAACTTTATTCGTTTGACACGCTTCATTTTCACTTACGTAATATGTCTAATTATTATATAATATAACATGTTGGATTAATATGTCAAAAAAAATTACTTCGTTCGACAATATAGTGTACAATGTAATTCATTTGATATTGTTCTCCTTGTACAATATACACTCACGCATTGCTCTTTAATTAACTTCAATTTCCATTAAATGTTTTGGAGTCATCGATACTTACTTTGTATGAAGTACGGAGTATATGACATATGATTAAGAAAATGTAAATATTATCATATGAAATTCTCTTAGATTTCAATAATGTAACCGTATATTTTTATAATGTTTTAAAAATATTTACCAAATTTACTTCGTAACTGATGGTTGAAGGAGGGGCAGATGAGATTCGAACCCGTAACCTTTGTGTCACGCTGGCTCCGATACCATATTAGAGGACCAACTCAACCAAAAGCTTAAACTGATGGTTGAGGCCTAGGAATATGTTTTATACTCTATCATAAAGATTGTAATGCTCAAACCGCTACATATAAGAAGATATTTAGAAAAAAAACAAAGAAAGTATATTAGTTAAATTATTAAAAAGCCAAATGTAGTAACTAATTTGAGAAAAATATACTTGGTACGGGACTACGGGAGTAGTATTTAGTTTAATCAAGAGTACCATAATTTATCCCTTTAAGGCAATTTTGTGATGATTATAGTAGTTTAATTAGGTTGATGGTTATGATAAAAAGACAAGAAAATTTCTGATTATTACGTCATTAAAAAACAATTCTGATTAGGCTGATAAATTTTAACTACTTCACAACTTGATTTTAGTCGGATCCGAATCAGCTTTTCGGGTACAGTTTATACTCAACAAATAAATCCAGCTCATCTATACAACTTACTACATATTGAAATTAGTATTACGCGTATTAAGTTGAGTAACAAATTTCCTTGTGTTTGGTAATGTAAGACAGGTATGAACCAGTTTTTTTTTTTTTTTTTTTTGGGGGGGGGGGGGGTTGGGGGCAAAAAATCAAAAATGCTAACAAAACTTATTGTCATAAATGTTGGATAAGAATGATGTTGTGACAGATAATAAATTAGAAAAAAATAAATAAATAACACTTCCCGTTCAAAAAAAAAATTTAGAAAAAAATAATTAAAGACAATATATGACATTAGGAAATTGGACATCATAAAATAAATAAAAAGATTACTTGAATAAAAATAAAGAGGTAATAAAATCTTGTAAAAATGGCAATGTATGATACAGCCCATACAGGCCATGTTTGGTAATTGGCTTTTTAATGGCTTTTTGGTTAGCTTTTGGCTTTTAGCTTTTTTAGGTGGTCAAACAGCCAAAAAATGTGTTTGATAATTGGCTTTTTAGTCAGCGAAAAAATGAAAAAACTGCTTTGAGTAGCTTTTTTGTTGGCTTTTGGCTTGTTGGCCCACAAATTATCTAATAAACAGCCAACAGCCAACATTTAATTTACCAAACACTTTTATAAACAACCAGCTTAAACAACCAATTTCAAAAGCCATTATAAACCGCCAAACATTTCAGCTAGTCAAACAAGCCAAGTGAACCAGCCAACAGCCAACCGCCAACAGCCATTTGTCAAACAAGGCCACAAACAGATGGAAGGATAGGATATGAATCATATGATATAAATGGGTTCAATCAAATTGTATTCATATTGTTTAATTCAACTTTTATTAATTTTAGATAAGATTATAATAAAATTGTTGGGACAAGTCAAAAATTGTTAGCTCTAATTTACTTGGACCGACGTACGTCTAAGGAAAAATGCTCCACTTCCTTGATACTTGTACAAATGTTGTCCCATTATTACTTAATGGTAGTATGTGGTCTAACACTCTCACTATTTACCTTTATTTCAATATATCAATACTCAATCAAAAGCGTGTAATATAAACTTCGAGTTGAGCATATATTTAGAAACAAAGGGAGTAACAAATAAGTCACAGGATGCCGTACAATCTTACATAGACAAGAAGTATAAGAGTCACGCACTAGCCAGCAATAGCATCATATGAGAAGACAAAGTTCGGCAGTAGTAGACTAAGCAAGTAGCACCAGGCAGCCGTGCACATGGGCTCGTTCGCACTTCGCACTAAGTGCTAGACGCATCAAATAGTTTGGCAATGTGCGAAGAGTCGTACAGACCGACTTTGTAAACGATTAATTATATATGTCAAGTTGAATAAAGATAGTTAGCTAAGTAGCTATGCTTCTTAGTGATTAGTAAACGACTTTGTAAATAGCTTTCGTTTGGAAACTTACTAGTAATTATTGATAAATTTACGTATAATTTATACATAGTTTATTGTGTTTTGTGAAAATATAATTTAAATATTACATAAAGAATTAAGGAACTTAAGTGATACGAAATCTCAGGACATGGTTTCTTCAGCTTAATTTTAGTTCAGTTCAACTCTAATCAGTTCAACTCCAATCAGTTCAATTCAGTATTTAATTTCATTGTCTCATAAACAATTCATTTCAGCTCAGTAAATTCCAAAAATCGGAATAGATCCTTAATCATGGCTTACATGGTTACAAGATCGATTCTTATATCTACGTACCCATTGACATTAAATCCCAATTAGTCCAATAAAAGTAGGGTCTATGCATGCATGATGCATTATGTATGTAGTTGATGAAAAAAATAACTATAAATATTAAATAAGGTGCTTAGCATTATAATCTACAGCTAGACATTAAATCCCAATTAGTCCAATAAAAGTAGGGTCTATGCATGCATGATGCATTATGTATGTAGTTGATGAAAAAAATAACTATAAATATTAAATAAGGTGCTTAGCATTATAATCTACAGCTAATTAATGTCAATCAATGATCTACGTATAATTATGATTAATATAAAAATCATGTAACCCTAGTTGCACAGCCGAAAGCCATGTGATTCTTCGACTGATTTGCGCAGTTGTATATAAAAAAAATTACAAAAACTTACCAAATGTTACGTATGTTTAATTTTAAATTTTTTAAAAAATATAAAATTAACCTAGTCCCTACCTGAGGTTGACAACGCGGTTGATGAACACCGTGAAATTTTGATGTTAATTGTAAAACACGGTTGAATGGTTGATGATGTAATTTCATTGTATACATTCACTAAATACAGTCCAAGTATAATAATAAACATGAATTAAAAATATATTTGCTTACGATAATTTTGATAAATTAGTAAAATGATCGATAGTACAGATGATTTATATGGGTGTGAAAGCGATGAAACCACATGATTTAAAAGAAGTGAACTAGTGAAATATACTTTTAAGGACTTGCATGCCTAACAAAGTAACAAACGTTGGACATACTTGTAAAGGTGTGGAGGTAATTAGGTAAATCCTTACTTTTATTTTATGATTTGATTAAATTTTGACCTTATTAATTTAAATCTTTAAAGATAATAAATTAATATTTAAATGCCATTAAATTTGCATAATGTGTATAGTCTAAATATGAAATTTTATAGTTTATTTCATTACACAATCCAGTTATTTAGCGATAATCAAGCACAAATATTAGTTTGTTCTCATTTGATTTGATGTAGCCTAATTAATTCTAATATAAGCAAAAATCTACTACTTAGGACTTGTTCACTTCAGCTTAATTTCAGTTTCGTTCAATTCAACTCCAATCAGATCAGATCAGTTCAGTTCAGTTCAGCTCCTAATTTCCTTTTTTCTTAAAATATTCATTTCAATTCAGTTCAGCTCCAATTAGTTCAATTCAGTTTAGCTCAGTTCAGTAAATGTGAACAGACCCTTAATCAAATAAGTTGAACTAAATATGGCAATAGTCACTAAGGTAGAGTTCTAATTTTGAACTTATTTTCGGTTCTTCAATTCATGTTTAGGCAATCTTTAATCACAGTCAGTTAATTTAAGTTAAATTTAGATACAGTTCTCCATTTTAGTTCAATTAACTCGATAGTATGTCAAATATGGAGTTACCGTGAAACAACTCCAAATTTGATGCAAGAAAGATAGATCCAGCCATAGGTATGGCAAGTCACGAGTTTTCATGTGAAGCTACGTCGACACTCCTACCAATTTCACCCATTTCTTCCCCTCTGCAGACTTTCGTTCACCCAATAGTGTCCTCTAAAATTTTGTTAGGTTTTGTCTCGTCTTCCCGTCCCAAGTTTAGAAGGAAATATGTCACTCTATAAAGTAGGTTTCCCATGCTTTTTACTAATTCTTTCTTTTGCAGGTTAAGCGGCTCTAAAAGAATAGCATTTTGTCCCATCGGGTATACTTGGTTTCCTAATCATAAGAAGTTGTATGGTCCGACCCCCAATGTTCTATCAAGCATGTAATCTTGCTTTCTTTATTTAGTTAGGTTGTAATCTTGCTTTTCATTTATAGTACTCTTCGTAAAAAAAATAATAATAATAATAAAAAAAAAATATATATATATATAGATAGTACATACATGTTCTCTTTATTTGAATTTCACTGATGTTATCTTATTTGTCTTTCTTGAACTAATTTTAAATCATCAACTTTATCTCATCTTATTTAAACTTTACAACCCTTAATTTTTTTTTTCATTCTTTATTGTATTATCAATCTCATTGGACCTTATTACAATAAATTGGACCCTATATATAAGATCTTATTCAAGCTTATGAAACATTTTAAAACTTTATAATGTTTTATCTGAACATATTATCCACAATTACACTTATTTTGTTTGACAATGGTTGCAATTAAAAGTGAATAGAGGAAGTATCTTTGAATCAGTCATCCGAAAAC